TGTGGCCCCTGAGCTGCTGGCTCTCAGTAACTGTGGCCCCTGAGCTGCTGGCTCTCAGTAACTGTGGCCCCTGAGCTGTTGACTCTCAGTAACTGTGGCCCCTGAGCTGTTGACTCTCGATAACTGTGGCCCCTGAGCTGCTGGCTCTCAGTAACTGTGGCCCCTGAGCAGTTTAGCTGAAGAGCCCTGCTTTAGAAGGAGGAACACAGTTTATTCTATTTACAAAACCTAAACTGAGTGGAAAGAAGTAAAGTCGATCAAGCCCTGCGGCCGACCTCATGATCAGCTGAATCGAACAGTGATAAACAGGAAGTACCACGTTTGTCTGAACGAAGGTAACTGCAGGTAAATCCTCCATTTTCTCTCATAATTACGTTGCCCAGTGCTTAATGGTTAAATTACCGGTTAACGCTTGAAGTTGTGCTTTGTTTTGTGTGTTCTATATGTAGATACATATGTTGCAGCTTCTGGTTGTATAAGTTTAGTCTTTATTATGATTAGTTAACACTAAACTGATTTTGTACAAAGCGCTAATGTAAAGCAGAGCGCTGCTTCTGCAGCATCTTAGCTAGCGCGTCTGTATTGCACGATGCTAGCTTAGCGCTACTTCTTGTTGCTCCCTAAAATAGTTACTGAATCAAGTGTTTACTTATGTAGGTAAACGTAGATGTTTAACAACCGGTTAAAATACACCAGAATGCAGGAAATGGCATTTATTCAAAATTTTCTGGGGAAGGACCCCCAGACCCCCCACCAGTGTGGCCCCCCACATTATCAATGCTTGTGACGGCAATGGCTACCGTGTTGTTCAAGCCAAGAGCCGTTGTCAACACTGGGGGAGCACCCTAAAGGTCCGATTCCAACATCTGGTCAGCGCTCCAACTTGACAGAAATGTCCTAAAGTTCAGCCCCATCATGTGATCGAACAAAACAAATAATTATGTTAAAGAGATTTTCAGTGATTTCTGTGGTCACTTAGCTGTGGCAGCCATCTTGAGCCGAGCTGACACCAAAAGTTAATCAGCTGAAGGTGTACATCCAGTGATGATTTGGACAAAGTTCTGGACGATTGCTGTCTGAGAGCAGTTTGTGCTTCATGTTGTCTTTAAGGTTCATGGGAGAGAGGAAGAGGAGGAACTTTTAATGCAGCTGAGTGAAGCATCAAACTAAATGAAACTGATTAGATTTCAATTTGGAACCAGGTGAAACAAATACTGACGCTGCACCAGGAGCTCATCTGACCAGGGGAGGAGGCCACATGAACACCTGGCTAGCCCAACTGGCTCTGAGCTTTCCTGCACCAGTCTACACTGGGATCACTTCAGTTCAGGTTAGCACAGACCATCATTGTTCGGGTTTGAAAGAGTTCCACTGAAGCGGTCCCTTGCTGCTTCCTGACTGGCTGCTGTTTCACCACAGCTCATCTTTGATTGGTTCGTGGAGTGTTCCTTGGGCGGATCTTGAGGGAGAGTTCCCACAGCGCCTCCTCTGCTAAGTGATCGCTGAAGTCATTGAAGAAGGATATGATGTCATCGTCAGGCTGCAGAGAGTAGGGCCTGCAGAGAAACAGTTATCTCAGAACATACAAATACTACAAACTTCTTCTTCTTTCAACTGTTCCCTCTTCAGGAGTCTCCACAGCAAATCCTCCTCCTCCATCTCACTCTGTCCTCTGTGTCCTCTGTCCTCACTCTGTCCTCACTCCAACTACATCCATGTCCTCTCTAACTGCATCCATATGTCTCCTCTTTGTCTTTTTCCTGCAGCTGCATTTCTAACATCCTTCTACCAATATACCCACTGTCCCTCTTCTGGACATGTCCAAACCATTGTCCCTCCTTTGGACATGTCCAAACCATTGTCCCTCCTCTGGACATATCCAAACCACTGTCCCTCCTCTGGACATGTCCAAACCACTGTCCCTCTTCTGAACATGTCCAAACCATTGTCTCTCCTCTGGACATGTCCAAACCATTGTCTCTCCTCTGGACATGTCCAAACCATCTCAGTCTGGCCTCTCTAACTTTAGATAAGGTCGTGGACTTCAGAGGGAACAAACACACCGTGTCCTAGACACACAGGGCACGGTGTAAGATCACAAAAAACTACTTCAGCACAGAAAAAGCAACATAAATAGATATAGTACATATGCGTGTGGAGTGGGTAGGGGGTCCCAGCATGGCCGCCAGGTGAGCGACGCAGCCCTTTGGCGCCTTCGCATCTCTTAGATTGCTGCACCGGGGAGGCAATGAGGGAGGCCGGTGAAGGAGGCCGGTGAAGGCATGAGTTTGAGAGGAAGTCGTAGCACAGTCCAGAGTCCCCCCCCCCCCCCCCCCTCCAAGCCATAGTCCTGTTAAGAGGTGTTTGTTTATCAGCCAGCTCAGTTGAGCTCTCACACAGGTCCATGTCCTTGGGGAGGAGATGGGGAGGGGAGCAGAGCATCTTGTTTCCATAACATCCTAGAAAAAATTAAGATAGTCAGCCTTCCAAGGCCAGAGCCAGATTCAGATTTTAACAATGTTTTGGGTCAGGCTGAGCTCGTTAATTTCCGCGTCTGCCTTTAGTCTCACTGGTACATCTCATGGCGACTCTAAACAGCCGAACTGTGATTACTTACACCCAAGTCAGGCTTACAACTTCTCTAAGATCTATTCCTTTCAACCATCTGTGAACACTGCCAGAAAGTTATGCCTGCTCAGCTCTGATACAGGTCCACAGATAGTTGCACAGAGTCTTGAGTGTTGCCAAGCCCGGCACACACATTCCACACAGCTTAAACAGCTGCTGACGTTTCCAAATTTCTTGATAATCCAGATTTCCACCAACTCTAAAAAGCTGAATCAAGTTATCCTAAATGCAATTATGTTTCCGTTGAGGTAAGAGGGCTCTCCTTCACCCTGTCTTCTTGATGAGAAAATTTGATCAATTACATTGAGAGACCAGCTGAACAAATCCACATTTACGATTCGGAAAGTTTGCAAAAAGGGTCTCTGAAAAAGGTTCACAAGACAAAGAGCAAAGCAGGGACGGAGCGGAGGAGGAAGCGTCTGCCTTCACCAAGAGCAAGCAAGAAAAAAACTCATTCCTTATCTTCTCCATCCTTGTCTCTCCTAAGGAGAACCTCAACATCTTCATTTCTGTCACCTCCAGTTCTGTCTCCTGTCTTTTTGTCCATGTCTCTGTCTCCAGACCAGACAACAGAGCTGCTCTCACCACTGTCTTGTAAACTTTTCCTTTGACCTTTGCTGACACCCTTTTTGTCACAAATCACTCCTGAAACTTTTCTCCATCACTCCATCCTGCCTGGACTCTCTTCTTCACCTCTTTACCACACTCCCCATTTTCCTGGACAGTGGACCCTAAGTCCTTGAAGTCCTGCACCTTTGTGACCTCTGCTCCTTGAAGCCTCACTGTTCCACCTCCTCCCTCTCATTCACACACATGGACTCTGTCTTACTACGGCTGACTTTCATTCCTCTTCTTTCAAGTGCATACCTGCACCTCTCCAAGTTCTCTTCCACCTGTTCCCTGTTCTCAACACAGATCACAATGTCATCTGCAAACGTCATACGGGCCTTTTCCACGGCTCCTCTTCAGCCTGGTTCAGCTCTGTTCAGTACAGTTTTGAGTGCTTTCCCACTGTCATTTTTTCACTGAACCAGACCACCCTTTTTTTGTCCCTTCTTCTCAAGGGGACCAAGTGAGCCAAGCCGGCACAAAATGTGATGTCAGAACACCGTCAGTCACTGATTGGTCAGAGGGAGGAGTCACTGGATCTTTCAGAAAGTTTTCAATACATTCGATCCACCATTGGCAATTACTCAGAACTCTGAGCAGCAGCTGGATCTATTTTTAAGATTTTAAAAACAGTAATGACAACACCGTGGTCTAATGCTGAAGTGCAGGTGTTTTTTGTGCTTGTAGACCGAGGACAAAATTCAGAGCAAGCTAGACGAGCTCTGCCGGTCTCCCCGGTCCTCTCCACCAGAGCTTCAGAGCCTGCTTAGGCCGTGCAGGGCATCTTCTCCCCGGCTCCTCTGCTGGTCACCACGGAAGAGCCTCCGTGCTGCCGGCTCGGGCTCTGGGCTGGCCTTGCGTGCTCTGCAGGCTATATATATAGTTTAATTCTATCATTTTAATAATCTGTATTCTTTTTAATTTATCAGAAACTTCAAAATAAATTCTCACCCTGTACTGAAACCTGTTTCCAAGGTATTACCGCCACCAGCAAGTAAGGCGAGTGACGTCAATTTGAACCCCGCCCACTGGAACCGGTACTAAAAGTATAATGGAAACACGGTGTGTACCAGACCAAGTAGAGTTGAACTGAGCCGAACCAGGCTGAAGAGGAGCTATGGAAAAAGCCCAGTAGTCCACGGGGATTCCTGCCTGACCTCATCAGTTAGTCAGTCCATCACCAGAGCAAACAAGAAGGGGCTTAGAGCTGATCCTTGATGCACTCCCACCGCTACCTTGAAGCAATATGTCACTCCTACAGCACATATCACCACTGTCCTGCTGTCCTCATACATGTCCTGCTGTCCTCATACATGTCATGCTGTCCTCATACATGTCCTGTACCAGTGTACAATGTCCTGCTGTCCTCATACATGTCCTGCTGTCCTCATACATGTCCT